TGTGTTGGCGATGACTGGGCGGACGCGAATGATGCGTTTTCTCAGCCGTTCAAGGACCTCTACGTAAAAAACTGCATTAAGGGTTTGTCCTTGTGGCACAAATTCCCTGTGGTTCACTCCTTTTGAATCGAAAACGCATCATCCGCGTCCGCCCAGCCATCGCCAACTCCTGGCGGCTCCATCACGACAATGCGCCGAGCCACACAGCCTTCCGCGTGGCGACGTACCTGGCCCAACACAACATCGCAACCCTGCCTCAGCCACCCTACAGTCCCGACGTTGCCCCACCAGACTTTTTCCTCTTCCCCCGCCTCAAAACCGCCCTGAAAGGACACCATCACGGCTCGGTGGAAGCGTTACAACAGGCCGTGACGAGGGAGCTTAACAGCATTCCGGCTGCCGCATTCCAGGAAGCGTATGAGAGCTGGAAATCCCGCTGTCAGCGGTGTGTGGATGCAGAAGGGTCCTACTTTGAAGAATATTGAGCGCATGTATTATTTCTGTCAATAAATATTTTGTAATTGACTCAGTCCGACTACTTTAAGGACAGACCATGTATTACGACGCAATGGATCTTCTAACTGCGTTTATCTACATTTATCGCCAGATGTTTTTCTCATTGTCCTATGGCGTATATGACGCGTGTCTAATGATAAATATGATATTATGTTATGTTATGCCAACCCAGGTGCACAGAAAAATTCCATATCAACATGTACTCAAAGATGCACAATAGCAATAAAGGTAGACATTGGATGACATCTTAGATACTATCTCATTTCACCTCTTTCATAATTGTGTACAGCAAAACAATCATTTTTTAAATTTAGTATTATAACATACTCGTAAAGCCTACGTGCCTTATACAAAATTGTATTCACTGTTATAATGTAGTTACAAAAATTTTGTATAGAAATACATTTTACATAGAAATACCTTATCTTAAACTTATCTTGATGATGTACTAATATAATATTCTACTTTTTGGCAACATGGTGATATATAAAATAGGAGCTCATAATTAATTTTTTATTTACTAAAAATTATATAATAAATTTATTTCTTTTTGGCAAATTTATTCTACTATTATTCTACTTTCTTTTCTATTTTAGTTATAATTATTTTAGTTATAATAATATCACGTTTTCAACATATTGTTAACAACTTTGTACTTTTATCGCAAAAATAATTCAAGTTCACGCGAATGCGTTTTATTTAGAGAGCATCAAGCGATGGTTCCCTCATAAAAATGTAAGCGAAATAACTACTATTGTAGAAAATTACTGTACTTAAAAATTTCTAATAATTCAATTACTGAACTCTAATAATTGTTCAGTGTTTTTCACATTTCCAGTTGTTACATTTCCGTAAGGGATATGTCGTCACACCATAATATGAGTGAAAATTGAATGTACTAAAATCACAGATTGAAATAGTGCTTGACTAATTTTCTTATGAATTGGATCATTTGGAAAGTTTTGTTTGGTTGCACCCTGTGCCTCAGAAAACAATACGTGATCCCTTTAGAAAATAATAAGACGATGAAAAGGCAGAGCATATTTATCCAGAAATCGAGATTTCCCATACCTGGAACATAGACAAATTTACAAATTGTCATTGAAATATGAAGTTGGAGGATAATTATTAGTACGGAAAACGCATGCGCAACATCCGTTAAAATATATAAAACCAGAGCGTCTAGACCGATCGTACGAGCCATCAAGAGTTCAGTAAGTTCCTACCTATAATTTTTAGGATTGTCTGAGGCGTTCTGTAATGACAGTAAATTTCTTCTAAGGGGCAAAATAGTTTCTTTCTGTCATAACCATACAGAGCCAGTGTGATAGCCTCAAAACCATGCCGGATATAACTTGTATGTGTAAAAATCGCCCGGTGAATTGATACTGGAGTGATTGACTCGCTGATGTCTTGCACCGCGAGTAGCAACAAAGGACAAAATAATACGGATCCGGTAAACAGACCATTCTGTAATTAGAATACGAATTAGTCGTCAATTGTAGGAGAGTTTTTCCTTTCCTCTCGTGCTGTATTTATGCAATCTTAAACATACTACTGTATTAAATATGCTGGCAATGTTTTGTCCTATGCTTTCCGCGATGAAAGCACACATACAGCAAACGCTGAAAAACATGAAGCATCTCTGCAATTCCAGAGGCTGCCCCGTGGCAAAGTATGCTATTGAGATAATTATAGCTGTGTAGAATATCTGGAGAAAGAAAGACCAAAAATTATTTTTAAATTGTTTCGATAGATGAACAGATTCGATAGGTAATCTAATGTACAGTAGTGAAACGTAATCTTTTTGCCAAGAAGTTTAAGCTCTCTTTCAAAAAATTGCTATAATACTATAGTAAAACCAAGAGCTATAATTTACATAGGACAATTTTTATAGAGCCAGCTAAGATTCAATTTGGACATCATCAAAGAACAAAATTTGCTATAAAATATCCGTACTGTATAAAACACATTTTATTATAATAGACCAACCTGAAAAGGTATACCGATTACTGCTATAGCCCAATAATACGCGCTAAAATCGTACCATCCGTTAAAATATTCCCGTTTCATGGTTTGAATTTCCGTAGGAACTGCAACCAGAAAATAACAACTCACTAGGAATTTGTAGAAATGTACAATAATCATATCATAAATTGATGAAAATTTCGCAAGAAATAACACTAATTGTAAGATGCTTCGCCATAACAAAGCAGTTTTGTTAAAATAAAATTTCTAAATAACATTTGTCAAATATCAGACACATTCAATTTTAAATATAAATATTTTATAATAAATTTTATAATAAATATTTTATAATAATTTTGCTGTACTAAATGTGTAATTTTTCATGTTGCAATATTTCGACATTATAATTTAAAAATAATTGTGCATTTTTATAAGCATATACATATAGAGGGTGTACCGAAACTGGCGAAAACTATTTTAATAACAAGTACTTTGTAACATTTTAAGACAAAAGTTCTAATACGAACATACATGTCGAGGCTATAATAGTTTTCAAATGGGAAAAGTTTAAAGATCTCGAATAATGAGGCCAGAATTTGCGCGCTCAGGGATAGCACAGTGGCCAGTAGCATAAGTGCTTCCTAAAAAATACAATTTTTAAATAATTTTTTTAAAAATAATGTCTTTAAGTGATGTCTTTACGAATCGTGTTTTTAAAAAAATTCTATCTTTTAATATAATTCTAGCGATTAAAGACAAATGAGTATCTCCTCATAAAATTATGTTGTGCTTTTGAGTGACTAGTGCGTTGTCTTAGGGTACAGACTAAGCGAACTAACGACGAACAAACAGCAAGTCCAACATAATATTTGATTAAATTTAATAGCGGACAATATTTAGTAGCCAGTGTGTTCTATCGCTTCCAAAAACAACCTTTCGGTGCAAACAAGAAAACTTACGAATGAGTTATTATACAAATGCGAATGCGAACATTTGAACATTCGAGTTTGGAGTTCGTTCACCGTACTTATCGTTTATATGCAGTCTTATGGTGAGACGCTTGTTTCAAGAAAATATGCGCTAACACAAAATCGATGGATAAAATTTTGATTAGTCAGGAAATTGTTTTTTATTTTCTTATGCACCATTCTTAATTTTCTACGCACAGAAAAGAATTTTTCCTTACACTTTAACAGCACCGGTAGCAGAGGAAAATATGAAAATATCACCATGCATACTATGCAAAAGCCAACATTATAAAGGGCCTTGTATTTGGAGCCGTCGTTGCCTAAATTAAAAAATAATGCACCGATGGTTATTCCCATAAACAAGTGTAGCCATATGTTCAGGTACACAGTAACCTGTAAACATACAAAAACTTTATTCAACTTTATGCGCAATTTGCATACATTGCTTGAGCACACTGGCTATCTGGGGATATCTTTAAGACACCTTTTAGACGTGCATGTCTAAAGACAACTTAATGCCGTCTTAAAAATGTCTTAAGGCCTGTGTCCACGATGCTAGAACTTGGTCCAAACTAGCACGTGACAAAAGTGATTTGTCAAACTCCGTTTTGGAGATTTCTACATTAATGACAGTCTCCCGACCGAAATGAAAGGCTATCATGGATGAAAATTTTTTCCAATCGGTACGGGAGATTGTTACGACACTTAATGTATCCCATACAAACGTTGGTTAAAATTGACTTTGTGTATAAAAGAAATTGCGATTCCACTCTAAAAAACTGAACGAACTTATTTGCCAACCCAATAGTAATTTGCTAGAAGATTTGCGCAAGATATTATGGTAAACTGGTATCACATTAAACTCATATATTCTGCCTGTAATCGATATAATCTGATAGTAAATTGCCAATAGAGAAACAGTATGTATCATTTAAAATTTAAACGAATATATATATATTATATATGTATATGTACGAATGGTCTTTTAAGTGGGTACGAAGTGGCCATTTAAATAAACATATTGTTGTCATATCACACGAAATGATAAATTCTTTTTATATTCCTGCTGGCATTCTATTGACAAAATTTATTAACAGACACTATACAAAATTTATTTTTAATAGATTTAACTATCTAGGCATGCAAAATACATCAATCTTACTCTATTTCGATAGAGCTGCAGTAACATTCTCTTTACTAGCGTGTTGAATTGATATATCCGTGAGATTTTAAAAGTCTTCCTGTCGAATTTAAATTCGTTCTTTGATCGCAAAATCGGAAGCAGGGGTAGATTCGTGTTTACGCTCTCAATCATCTGATGGACCATATCGAAACCATATTCGCCAGATGAGATTTCTATTACTGAAATGAATATGTGACATTAAAGTAACTTTGTTAATATCATTGTTTTATATTCAAATTAAACTGCGTAACAATTTTTAATTAATTCGTAATTCGTAATAGTTAAATTATAAATTAATTCTTAATTCTTGTAATTCTCCTTTGCATTATTTATAAACAGAGCTCTCAGAACTCAATCCAGTTAAGTTGTTTTTGATTAAGAAATCTAACTACGCATAAAATTTTAATTAATCACTTCCCAATTCTTAAAAAGAAAATTATTTTCTTTTTAAGTTCTAGTTCTTAATTCTTATAATCTTTGTATCATGTCTGAAAAGAGATCTCAGAGTTTTAAATAACTAGCCTACATTACTCAACGATGCATATCTTGCATATGCATATCTTGAGTAATAATTAAAATAGCCGATTTCATCCTTCAGATGCCCATTAACAACTTGTACACATTATGTCACAAGACGAGAAACGCGACTACATAAAAAATATAATTTTCGCATGCAAAATTTTGTATGTAACTCACTGAAGTCCGCCGGATTGTAATGACTCGGGCATTCTAAGCCCATGTTTTGCACAAACGGCACCATGTTGCTTACGGTGTCCCGGTAAACGCATTGTCCTTTCGCCACAATATAGACGTGATCAATTTTCTGAAATACGCTTGCGCTAGGCGTATGCACCGAACACACAACAGTCCGTCCAAAATGTGCCAGCTTCTGGAGAACATCAACACACAGGGCAGCGGAGACCTCATCCAGTCCACTAGAAAAAAATGAGTTGTCATTTTGCGATGCTTTTGCAAATACAGTATGCTTTTAGAGCGGAGTTTGACGGCACATCTCCGCACGAGATTCTTCTGCCGTTGCTAAAAACGCTCACAATTAATATCTATCTACGATCAACAAACAAAACTTACAATACGTTAAAACATTTACTTATACGAGCAACTGTTTGTTCGAGCGGATGTCCATTATTAATTATATTTTTTTTATGCGCGCCCCAGTTTATTAATGCGTCTTGCGTTCCATTATTTGGCGTTTTATTATCATAACTGCGAGAAAGAAAGTCGACGATCCTATCTGCAATCGATGTCTAAATTTTAATGTAACTTTTGTGATTTTGAACATAGCTTTTCGGTTTTTCAACGCATTTCTATTAACGCATTGTGTGTACTTTTTTTACGCTTATGCATTTCTTCAGTGTTTAGTTCTTGACGAATTTCTTAAGACGAAACTTTCATCTCGCCTTTTTTTCTTTTTTAAATACATTTATAGTTGACCGAGACAGAGTTAAGACTATGTGATAGTTAAGAAACTAAGATAATCAATTTTGATCGTAATCGTGATCAGTACTTACGTAGTTGGTTCATCGAGAAAAATAATAGGCGGATTATTCACGAGCTCGAGTGCAATGGTCAATCTCTTTTTTTCACCACCCGAGAGGTTGTTCGTGATCGCATTTCTTGTTTTGGTTAATCTAAGAATACTTAGAATCTCATCTATCTGAAATCAATCCAGTAAATAACAATTAACAGTTACATATCATCAATATTATAATTTTCTGCTGAACAATGTAACTGCTACGTGCAATGTTACATGTTACATTACATTTATATTGTTAAAATTATACTGGAAAATTATGATATTTATGTTATGTAACTATTAGTTGGTGTTCACTAAATATTGTTAATGTTCTACAAACTGTATTTTTATGATTTATTTCTGATGCAATTTATATGGCAAAAAAAGTTGTTTTTCATTTAATAATATGATATTACGTTAAAACTTAAAATACACCAAACTGCCGGCCGTTACGCAATTTTACTCATAAAGGTGTGGAAACAATAATATAAATAATTATGAAAGTTAAAAACAAATTGAAATTTTATTTATTGTCGCAGGACTCTACTCTCAAATGCCCCTTTTCTTTTAATTTGTTCAAAATTGCTATCCTCATTATATTAGAAATATTTGAAACTTTTATTTCAGTTTCATTATGAGCGTTTTTTTAAAGGTATATTTTTTTACTACCATAAAATAAAAATGTATATAAAAAACCACACAGAGAGATTGTTGATCGTATAAAAAATAAATTGCGTTATAAAACTCATGTGATATAAAACTTTACATAAACTGAGGGATATGTGTACGACTATACATATAAGTGTATACGACTCGATTATCAATAAATATTTAACTGACAGATCTTTGAAAACATATCAAAAGTATGTTAAAGAAAAATTGATGGAAATGTCATTTGTTTTGTGAAGTGTATTACAATTTTGCTGTGTAATTTTTGTCTTCGGATTTTAAATCATTTTATTACTGTATAGAAGAAAAATCTCACGTTTTTTATAATGTGTCGAGAAAATTTGCATTGTTTGCTTCTACTTCTAGTCTTGCAATACTCTGAATAATTTCATTAATTCTTTTAATCCTTTGTGACTTAAAGCTATTTGCTATTTTTTTGTTTATCTTTCAGCTATGATAGGTAAATCGCTGACCACAATCATATATACCAATGTCCGCTAATGCCCAGTGGGCATTACTTTATCTTATTTTATCTTTATAATGCCCCAGCAAGGCCTAATGCCCAAAAAATACCTAGCCAATAGTACCCAGTGCCGCAAATCTGTACACTACAATGCCCTCAGCGGTTTACTCTTCGTTCAGCTATGACACAAAGCTAAGATCTCTACTTACAATAGCGCGTTTCTGAGATTTCGATTTCCTTTTACCGATCTTTAAGTCAGCGGCGAAAGACATCGCCTCGAAAACAGTAAGATTTGGTTGTGTGATACTCTCTTGCATGATATAACACGACATCTTCTTGTACTCCTGCATGTCCCGCAGTTGTCCATTGATACTTATCGAGCCACCTATGTCTGTGCATCTGTAACGGAGCAGCTCTATTTCGTTCCATTTCGTGTTTTCGTGACACGTTGAAAAGCTTTCCGTCGCTTATCACTTTCAACGTTCCATTAAAATCGATGTGAAGCATTAAGTTAATTTTAATATCAGCTAGTGATTATTCAACCGATGTGTCAAGCCCGAGGTTATTAAAGCTTTTTGTGGGCACAGTATTTAGCGGACAGAAACCTTGCATGAATAACTGAATCCTAGTAAAACTGATAAACCTTGCATGAATAACTAACCCCAATTAATACACGGAGAGAATTTTCTTTTCAAATTTACCCTGAAAATTATGTGATCGTGAGACAACATGGCATTTTGAAGACTTTATGAGAGTTTGTTGAAATTTTATCGTATATTCTACTAGTAAAATTATACTAAATATAATTACTTAATATATACCAGGCTACAAACAATTTTGTAGCAGAAACAAAAGATAGCGAAAAAGTTTTGTTTCCGACATCTATAAATCTACCTGTGTTAGTAAGATACTTTTTTAAGTGTAATGAAACGGTCACATGGACGGGTCAAATAGCGCGTATACAGAGGTTTTTTTTTATTAATTCTCAAAAGTGGTTTTTCCAAATATAACTTTATCGTACATGGTTGAACTTGTAAAAATATAACTTTTTATTTAGTGATAACAAAATTTCAAAATTTTGAAAACTTGAGTGGTGGGCCTACTTTAAAAAATTAAAGAAAAAGGAAAATTTTTTGTCACTATTTTATAGTACTCCTAAAGTTACGCAACTTTTAATTAAAACATTTTTCTATCTTCTTTCTTAGTTTCGGAGATATTTGCCGAAAGAAAAAACCGATTTTTATTAAATGGATCAAGATCGGAGGGAGACCTCATAAGATTTCCTTGTTAATTAACTTTCTTAAAGCGATTAAAAAAGATCATTAGAATTTGCGATTATACTGACTTGTATCCTGCGAGAACATTAAGTAGCGTCGATTTTCCGGCACCGGAAGGACCCATAATCGCCGTCAGTTGACCCGACTTAAACTGCCCGCTAAGTCCCCCCAGAAGCATCGTTGTTTCTGTAAATTTTACAAAAAGTTACGCGGTAGTTTAAACGTGAATAATTTTTGTAATTAACGTATCGGAAACATTATGTAAGACAATGTGTCGCCGCTGTCCACCATTGACAACAAAGATTATTAGTAAGAAGTACTATTTTATAATAGTAGGAGCACCGACCATAAAAGTTAATTGTCGGATTTATTAGTGAGATTATAAGTAATGTACAAGTATAAGATTGTATAAGTAATGCAACTATGTTTTTACGTAAGATATACGAGGCAAAAAAAGAACCTTTGTGCACTTTTATTTGCTCACTCGCGATACCATTCGTATCACTCGTTCACAAAGATGTTATTTTTTCTTAATTCATTGTAAGAGACAAGAGAGAACTCAGCTCTTCGAAATTCATACTGATTAATGATTAAAACGCATTTGTGACGTGTAAAATAATTGATTACGCTGCAAATAGGCGAAGCTTCTAACATCTCAGCAAACATGACGTTATTTATTGCCATTTTAACGTCAAAATGATATTTCTACATCAAACTGACGACACGTAACGCTATCGCGCGTCTTTGCTGGGATTTAATATTATTTGTAGGAGTTGTTTGAAGACAGCAGACCCCAGTGAAAAATGATTCGTCGAAACAGTGTCGAATCGACATCGATATTGTCGTATTAACATCGATTTGACACCGATCGACGAATCATTTCTCGCTGGGACTCTATGAGTGCTATTACACGGCACCCTAACCGGATTTAATAACATCTGTAGTTATAAAACTGGCCAATCACAACTATAATTCCTCAGAAGAATGGAATGACTGTGATTGGCTAGCCCCTTAACTATGGATGTTATTAAGCTTGATTAGCGCTTCGTGTAACAGCACTCTATAACGTGCATATAATTGTGTGAGCAACTGCTCGTTATTGACGTTATCGTAATAATTGGTATGCAGTAAAAACACGACATTAAAATGCATTTCTGAAATTGTCCCCTTACTATTTGCCATTTCCTTTACACGCAATCGCGCGTACTTGTGCTTTGATCCGTATGGAATTACAGAGAAATGAAAAAATACGACATGTTTACGTGCGATAATATGTAATGGGTGCATAAATGCAAGATAATTTGTAATGCATACATAAAAGTGAATAATTATGTGAATAATGTGTATCAAACTGAAATAAGTGGCGGTGAGAATGTTCTTCATGCGAATATATTCTTCTACTGTGTCGGCATCCAAGTGAAATCACCTCACTTGTGTCATTTCGCCAGACCGTTCTATTAAACAGTTGAAATAACAATACACCGCTAAGCCCTCATTATCTTCGCCTTTGTACATTCCACGTGGGTTTGCCCCCGCAGTGCGGAAATAGCGCCTTGTACTTCCCTACAAAGAGCTGCACGAGCAACAAACATAGTAGCTGCATTTATGCAGCAGCTGACCGTGAATCGTACCAATTGCACGTGATTTTGCAAGATGTCTATTCCTCTTCGGTTGCCACGCGGTGTCGTATTTAACAGACGTTACATTAGCATCCATCTGTCATTCTCTCGCTGTATCCCCGCTGTATCCCCGCACAATCGCAGCTCACGCTTGTTCTCATCGCTTCAATGCGTATAACACGCCGTGCATAAATATGAGTCACGCTTCAATCGCTATCCTTTGCAGAATCACAAAAAGATTTCGTGATCTGAAACTGCCGTCTCATGTATCATTAACCGTAATGAAAACAATGCGCGCCAAGATCGTGCAACATGTGCACCCACAAAAAAGATTTCCGGGTGCTATTATCTATTCTTCGATATATCTATTATAAAATAGGATTGATATGTAGCAACAATCATTTATTATTGAGGAAGATTGCCCACAATTGCGGGAGCTGTATGTAACTATGTTTAATGTGCAACGTCAATTTCCGAAAGTTTTTGCATGAGTCATCATAGTGAACACGTGCGTGAAGTTGAACGGGAAAAAAGTTTACAATTTCATGTAATAACCTTTATCTATCGTGAAAAACGACTGATATTTAAAATATTTGTAATTCCACGAGCTAAACACTATTCGTCTTTATCTGATCGTTCAATCAATGAGATGAATTAATTAAAAAATATTATCGATGCTCCAATAATTATTGGAGGAAGTTTCCTGTTATGAGACCGGTTTTTATTATAATATGAAACAGCGGGTTTTCTACTAAATTAATAGGCATCGTCTGTTGGTTCCACCGTGAATTTATTCCCTTGGAGTGAGATGTTTAGTGGAAAATTCATTGTTAGATTGTGTAATCGTCGCGAAAGAAGATTGTGATTGATTTTGTATGTTGAAAACCTGCTATATTAGAACTCTATCTCATAATAGGGGACTTTTCTCTACATCTCGTCTGTGTTTTTCTTATTGTAATACAATATTTGTATTCTATTACATTTTCTTACTGTATTACATTTGTATTGCGTATTATAATTATAATTACAATACACTGTAATAGAAGAAGTGCGATTATATGTACTACTGACAGTGAGTACAGATATTTTTTTAATTGCATATTTTTAAGAAATGAAAATAAATTTTGATACACAAGACCATTATTCCTATAACAGTCTCGAAATTATAAGTAAAAGTAATTAAAACTAATTGTCGGCGAGTATAATGTATGCATGTAAAGCGATAATTGTACTTATAATATACTGCGTACAGATTTTTTAATGGTTCGATTATTTAAATTATTTTTCTTGTTTAACTGGCATTGACTTTTATCGCAACAAAATATAGTTCATAATAATTTGCATAAATTAAAACGGCATTTAAATATCAATTTAATCTTGCAATTCTCAAGCATACAGGG